GATCAGGCCAGGTGGGGAGGGCAGTTGGGGGTGATCAAGCCAGGGGGGGCGCAGTTGGGGGCAAGAAGGCTGGCAGGCAGTGTGGTTAGGGGCGATCAGGTGAGCGGTTAGGAGCCAGTGGTCCCAAATTGCGAAAGGGATGTCACAGATTAGAGAGGGTGCAGGCTGGGCTAAGGGACACCCCCCATGCACGAATTTTGTGCACTGGGCCACTAGTGTTTACATAAAAACCTGCACATGAATGTTTATAATCATTTTATTCAGAATTGCCAAAATGTGGAAGCAACTAAGAAGTACTTCAGTGAGTGGATGGATAAACTGTGGTTCATCCAGACAGTGGAATATTATTCAGCACTAAAAAGGAATAGCTGCCCTGGCCAGATAGCTCAGCTGGTTAGAGCAACAGCCCAATACACCAAGGTTGCAGGTTCAATACCCAGTCAGGGCACATACAGGAATCAACCAGTGAGTGCATCAATAGGTGTAGCAACAAGTCCATCTCTCTCTCTCTCTCCTTTCACACACACACACACACACATTAATAAATAAAAAATAAACAAATGAGCTGTCAGGTCATGAAGAGACGGGGAGGGAATGAAATGCACGACTGAGTGGAAGAAGCCAATCTAAAAGGCCATGTGACAACCCGACCGGTTTGGCTCAGTGGATAGAGCGTTGGCCTGAGGACTGGGGGTCCCAGGTTCAATTCCAGTCGAGGGGTGTGCCTTGGTTGCGGGCACGTCCCCAGTGAGGGGTGTGCAGGAGGCAGCTGATCAATGTTTCTGGCTCTCTGTCCCTCTCCCTTCCTCTCTGTAAAAAAATCAATAAAGAATATGTTAGAAAAAATAAAATAAATAAAAAGCTTTGTGACATCGGGAAAAGGCAGCGCTGAGGAGACAGTGAAGATCAGTGGTGGCCAGGGGCTGGGGGGAGGGACGGACAAGGGGGGCACAGAGGATTTTAGGGCCGTGAAACTACTGTGTGGTACTATGATGGTGGGCACACGTCGTAACACATTTGTCCAGACCCACAGAACCTACAACCCCGAGAGTGACCCCAGCGCACACCGTGGGCTCTGGGTGCTGATGATGTGTCAATATATGTTCATTAATTGTAAAAATTGTACTATTCTGGTGGGAACTTTGGCCATGGAGAAGACTGCGCATGTGCAGAGTGGGGAGTATGCGAGAAATCTCTGTACCTTCCTCTCAATTTTGCTGTGAACCTAAAACTGCTCTAAAAAAGTCGTCTTTTAAAGAGACAGACTTGGAACAGTGGTCAGTACAGGGAAGGGGGCAGCTATTCCTCCCATTCCCTTGTCTGAGCATGTACACCACACACACCAACATAACACCATGCACATGTGCATTACACACTCAGTTACATGTACACGTTGTGCACTTGGACATACATGTGAGAACTAGCACACATTTCTATATACTAGCACATATGTGTGCCCACTTGCACATACAAGTGCACGCTCACATGTATATGTACACCATTGGGCATACATGTACACAGTGGTACGTTCATTTGCACAGTCACATTTGTGTACATATGTACATGTTAGCATGTTATGTGTGCACATGTATGTACATTATATGGTGCGTACACTCGGATGCATGCAGGCTCACGTGTGTGCATATGCTCGCATATGTGTACACACATCTTTCCTCCCCATCCTGTCCTTGCATGCTATCCCCCCACATGTCCCCATACTCTCCCATACTGTACCTCCACGGTCCCCACACTCTCCCTGGCACTGTCCCTATGATGTGTAGGGGCCTCATAGCCTGGCCACCCCTCTGGGCCCCACAAGCTTTCTCAATCTTTTTTATTATTATTATTAAACTCTTTATTAGTTAAGGTATTACAAATGTGTCCTCATCCCCCCCATTAAAGCTTTCTCATTCTGAGGACACAGATGCTGGAGCCGCCCAGCGACAGGCATGAACAGGAGCCTGGGATGGACTGGCAAGCGCTCCTCTCAGGGTCACTGCAGGGCCCATGAGACCTCATGGCTGGGAGCACCATCTGTCAGGAGTCAGGACACACTGTCTGAGGCACACCCAGGCTAGTCCCCTCGCCTCCCTCTCTCCCCAGCCAGTGCCCTTACCCTGAGGAGCTGCGCATCAGTTGGGACCAACCCCACTCCATGGCAGGACAACCAGCCACCAGCCAGGCCCACCCAGCACAGCCCTGCCTCATTTCCCCTGCAGCTCCATGGGGTTCACCAGGCGGGGACTTCGGCAGGGCCCAGCTTACCTGAGGATGACATACATGACGAGGCAGTTCCCCAGAAGCCCCCCGACACACACAGCCAAGTAGAGCCCCACGATGGTGACCTTGAGCCCGAGGGGCAGGAAGGCCCCATGGCTGACATTGAGGAGCAGGTCAGGGGGCAGCAGGCTGTGGTTGGGGCTCACGAGGCCATCCTGCAGGTCACTGCTGTAGACCTCTCCGGGCGGGGTGGGGAAGAGGCACTCCATGCTGCTGCCCTGCCTGCGCAGCCACTCGGTACCTGGGAGCACAGGGACACATGACCACAGCGCCTGACACCCACCCAGCCGAGGCCTCCAGCACCATGTGCATGGCCCAGCAGGCACGTGAGTCCCCCCATGGGCAGCCACAGTCCCAGAGGCACATGTTTGCACACAGGGACACAGGCTCACACATGTGCACACACAGGGACACACAAAACATAGAGCCATGCCTGCCTACACAGGGACACACAGGCACACAAATGTGCATACACAGGGGCACAGGCACATATGCAGACATGAAGCATAGACAGGGACACACAGAGAACATGTGTGCACACACAGGCACAGTCTCATTTGGTCTGCAGACCCCCACATGGAATGTGTGGGTGTAGGTACACACTGGGACATGTTTCCCCCACAGGGACTCCTGCACATGCAGCTGCCCCGTGTGCTCACAGGCACAGGGACACATGTGTGCGCACACGCACACACACAGATGCCCAACACTGCCTTCCTGCGCACACAGGCACAAAAGGGACCAGACCCACCCAGAAATACCTGAGACAAGGACGCAGGGAGTGAGAGCACAGCTTCCGCCCGCCCTGCCCAGAGCGCAGCCGGCTGGCGGCAGGTCACCCCACATCCACCCCACACCCACAGCCAGTGGCGCAGGCCTTACCTTGGCACCCCCGTGGGAGCTGGGGCCGTGGAGACCTGACCCTGGCCCACGAGCAGCAAGGCTGCGGCTTCTGCCTGAGCAGCCGGGGTCTGGCTGGGGCTGCAGACAGGCGGGAGAGGCTGCCGCGAGGGGGCGGGGCTGCACAGGCTGGAGGAGAGGCTGCAGAAAAGGGGTCACCAGGCCCCTGACTGGGTGGGACAGACACAAGGACCAGGGCACGCATTTAGAGAGGAATGACAGAGCCAGGCTCAGACACAGACACAGGGACACAGATGCAGACAGGAACTTAGACAAAAGGACAAATACAAGGACACATGAGGACTCGGAACAGGCACATGGGAACAGACACACACACAAGGACACAGAGAGACACACACAGACATGGGACAGAGACACCAGGAAGTGCACATGAAACACACAGACTACGACATAGATATGGGGCCGTGTCTCACATGCAGAGCCCACCTCGGATGGGCTCAGACTGCCTGTTTGAGGGTCCCAAGGAGCTGAGCCAGAGTGGGCCAGCAGGTGGGTGGGCACGGCGGTGCCGCTCCCTGGCCAGCCTCGAGTGGATCAGTCTTGTTGTCAACAAGCAGGATGCCTGTGCGCCCTTGTGTGCCCACTGTGTGCCCCACATGCCGCCCAGGCTCCAAGCCAGTCACAAACATGACCTCACCCATCCGCATTGTGCTTGGCCACTGCTATCAGCATCACCTTTGTGCAGCGGGAGCATTAGGACTCAGAGATGTGAGGCCACCTGTCAAAGTGACAGAGACAGGGTTTGAAGCCAGGTCTTTCTGTCACTGAGATACACTAAGGAGGTCTGCACCACAGCTGGGCCCCAGAGTAACTTCTGAGCATCCTTCTCTCATGGCCTGCCCTCAGCAACCACACAGCTGACAGCCCCCACTGGGAAGCTGCTCCCTAACACTGGGGTCACATGCCATGTCGGGAACCCTCAGCTGAATTGTCAGCACCACCCAGTCATGGGGTCAGTCTTCCTGCACAGGCTCTGCCCACACATCCCAGACCCTGTCTGAGCCTCTGTCTCCAAGGATGGGGGCATGGTTGCTAGGTGACTGGTGCAGCGTTGCTAGGATACCTGGGGAATCAGGAGAGGACAGAGCGAGCAGATGCCTCAGGACTCAGCATCCCAAGCTGTCCCCCAGGACCTGTCTCTGCATCTTCGCAGCAGCCTACTCAGGGTCACAACATACAGGCTCACACACCTGCAAACAGGCACATGGGAAACACAGACATGGGCACATGCTCAGGAATGCACAGACGCTGGCAGGGATGCACAAACACCTGGGCCACACATGCAAACCCATACCAATGTGCATGTGAAGCACACGGTTAGACACGAGAGAACAGGCAGACAGAAGGTAAATACCTTAAACACCTGGGGTACACACATGGGCACCATCCTCCCCAGGGGAAGCTTGGCCCTGCTGACCTCAGAAGCCAAGAGGCTCACCTCCTACAGCTGACCCTGGCTAGGCTCACCACAGTCTCAGCAGCCAATCCTAGTCCCTCCTGCATTCAGGGAACCTCTATGGAAAGACGGGCGGGGAGGGGGGGAGGCGGAGACAGTCCTTCTGTGGAGCCTGGGGCTGGGGTCCACGCTCAGAATTTAGAGGCAGAGACTCCTAGTTCACCCTCGCCCAGGAGGCCAGAGCAAGCTGGCCACAACGGGGACAGTCAGCAGCCTCCTGCGAGAGGCCCGGACTTCAGCTAAGACCCCGCTCCACAGCCAGGATGGTCCCCTGCTCGCGGCTCAGGTCCTGAACTCCCAAGAAGGCACCATCATGAGCCCAGCGCCCACAGCCCTCAGGACACATGCCCGAGTGAAGGCGAGAGTGGCCTAGGCACTGTGGAAGCCACCGATACTTGGACAAATCATGACTTAAAGCACTGATTCGGGCCCAACATAAACTGTGGGGTGAGCATATGAATTAGTGAATTCCAGAATAAACTGCTGAGTGCATGGACAAATTACAGAATCAACTGAGACTGGAATTGGTTATAGGAGAGTATGAAATTAGCAAACACAAATAGATTACAGAAATCCAGGAGCCAGAGGTTTAGGGTTCAGCAAAACCCAGGTCTGATCTTGTGGGACCCCTGGGACCCCAACCTTGCCCTGGGAAGAGTGAGTGGTAGTTGGTGTTGCCTCATTTCCGGGCTGTGAACTCCAGCGGCTGTGGGGGGCATGTGGAGGGAAAGGGCTCAGTGCCAAGGTCTCTAGCTGCGCTCCTTGCCCCCAAAATTAGCCACCAAAGACCGCCCCAGCCAGGTAGGTGGGCACACAGGCCCCCACAGTGTTTTGGGGCCCCAGAAGGAAAGACAGCTCATGGGGACCAGAAAAGCTGCTGTCACCACCTCCACGATCTTTGACTGGCTGGGGCGGCTGCGGGCATCCGGTGGCGATGTGGTCTGCTCACCTGGACCAGGGTTTTGCCCTTGCCCCGTGCGTGCGAGGGGCCACTCACTGTGGCCCGGGTTGGGGAGGGGCGGGGCTCCAGGTTGCCCGGCAACGGCGCGTCACAGGCCCCAGTGAGTAGGGGCTTTGTTGGAGGCTGACTGCAGAAGCTGAAATGTATGGGGTGTCGGAAAGGGGAGGGGGGCAGGACCTGGCCCGGGGTCTAAGGCCTGGGGTGGTATGGGCTGGACCCCGGGAAGGGAGGAGCCCTGGAGGGGAGACCGGCCGACCCTGGTGAGCCCTCCCCGCTATCCCCTCTCCGTCTAGACCAGTAGGGGGCAGACCAGGAAGATGGGTCTCCCCAGAAGCAAGCCAGCGCCCATTTGGCCCTGAGCCTCCCCTGGGGCTCCAGCCATCGTCGCGGGGAGGGTCTGCCAGGCCTGGTCCCCAACCTTGGGTGGGGCCTGAGGGCAATTCAAGGGTCTCAGCATTTTCTCAGTGGACAGAGAAACAGCCCGTGGGCAGAAGTGGGATTTCCTGAAACTCCGAGGGGAACAGAAAGTTCTAGCAGGACCGATAGCGAGGCTTGACCCGGGGACAGAGGCTGGAGGCGGGGACCTAAGGCAGCTGCGGGGTCTAGAGGGGGTGGCAGGTGCCCCGCGGACAACGCGCTGGCACCAATGACGGGACGTCCTCCTCCCTTAGCAAGGCCTAGGATGCCACCCCCGGCCGCAAAGGAGGCCGGGAGCAGGGACCTGCGGGAGAGAGCCGGGAAGGGCGCGCAGAGCGCAGAGTCCCGTGAGAAGCGCGCCAAGGGAGCACCCGCAAGGGAGCCCCCCAAGCCAGGCTGGGCTCTGTCACTGGAGGGGCTGGAGGCCATGAGCCCCAAGCAGTGCCACCGCCACCTGCTCTTCGGGGACTTGCTTGAAGACGTGGGTGCGGCCGCCTCCATCTTCCCCCGCGAGTCGGCGGAGTTGGGGTACCGGATGCCCGACCCGCGGGCGTGGATGCAGTCACTGGAAAAAAAATCAAGGCGGCAGGCCCGCGGTCGGGTCCGCGCCTTGCGGCTGCGCTACACCTACATGCGGGTCAGGCGCGGGGGCCAGAGGCAGGGGCGGGCATGCGAGACGGTGGGGCAGCCTGCGCGGGAGACCGCCGAGCCCTGAAGAAAGGGGTGGGGATGGCAAGGGCTCCC